AGTGTTCACCCTCTTCAGGGCTGTTCTTTTTGGTTGAGGAGCTGAAGGAGTTGTTGTTGCTGTTGTTGTTTTCTGGTCGCTTTTTGTGGCTTTCCTTATGATTTGTGGCTCGCTGCTGCTGCTGCAGGTGGTAATGGTCGACTTCAGGATGTTGACTTTATCGTCGTTTTCGTCGTCTTCATCTTTGCTGGTACTACTGCTGCTGAAACTGCTGTCAAAGCTGCTGCTGCTGCTGCTGCTGCTGGAGTTCTCAAGTTCTGGACAATTACCACTTCCATTCTGCTTCTTCTTCTTCTTTTTGTTGTTCTTTTGTTTCAGTTTCTTCCTTTGCTTTTTAGTTAGAACTGGAGCACTCTGGAGGGCTGGACCACCACCATTAGATGGCCGACGGCTCTTTGCTTGAGATTTAACCTTGAGCACGGCCATTCGCGCCTCAAAGAGGCGCTGCCGCTTGAGGTTGGCCACCTTGGCACTGACACTGACCTGGTACAGGTGAGAGGTGGCGGGCAGTGGTCTGTCACCACCGGGAGACACACAATTCGCCGGTGATGGTCCGCTTGAATCTAAGTAAAAAATTAATCAAAACTGTGTTTTTAAGTTTTTGTTAACTTTTTTGTTTACTCACTGCTTTCCCCGTGATCAACAGTTTTCTCGATGTTTTGCTGCACCAAAACATCAGCACAGGAGGAGGAACTGCAAGGGCCGTGAACGGCGACGACGATGGCCTTCTGCTCGGCGGTGATCTGCTGGCAAACTTCGCCCATCTTCGCCAGCTCAACAAGTCGCTTTTGGGCCAGCCTCCTCTCTACGTCCATCAGGTGGTCCTTGTGCGGGCAGGCGTGCACTACTGGCCAATAGCCGGTTTTCGGTTTGGTCAGAGGAGGAAGTGTCGAAGTTGCAGGAGAAGTAGAAACTGCAGTTGCTGGTGGTGGTGGTGGCGGTGGTGGCGGTGGTGGCAGAAACCTTCTCTGGCTTTTGGGCCCGGTCATCCTCTCGGACCTTTAAGGTAATGTCTTTCTGGGGGTAATGCTGCTGCTGATGTTGAAGAGGATTCGAAGAAATTTGCTTCAAGAATAAGTTCGTTTAGAACAGCAGAAGCAGAAGAAGAAGAAGTAAGCTCTTTGACTGAACCAAACTGAAGATCAAGCAAGTAGAAACTGAAGTAGAGAGCTGTGTTTCGAAAAGCTCAACCTTTCTCCGATCACGCCTTCTACGGACGGCCCCATTTAGAACATCGACAACCGAAAGAACAACAAAGAGCCGCTGCATCGTCACTTCGGTTTCTCCAGTTTCTATTTGCGTCTTATCTGATCTTTTATCTGGTTTTCTATTGTCTGTTACTGTTATCTGCGAATTCACAGGTTTGAGGGCACCATCAAATTTTTCCTTTGTCCTTTTTCTCGTTTCCGTTTTCTCACCTAATGTTTTCTCCTCCCGTTTTGACCAGGCCGCCCAACTCTAACTTTTGTTTGCTCAAAATTCGAACCTTTTCTGGAACAGCTTTTCGTTTGGAACAATGCTTGGCCTGCGTCTACAAAGGCACCTCAACGCGTCACTGCCCAGGTCTATTTCTCTTGCGTGCTTTGCTCAACGTCTCTCAAATATTTGACAACATTTTGACTACATCATCGTCTTCAAGCGACTTCAGTATCTGAGCTCAATTTCGAAATTCTGGTATCACCGATGTTGATGTTGATGATGGCCTACAGCCCTTTATTGGTTCTCGCTGTCCTCTTGGTTGGCTCCAATGCTGTAAGTAATCGAGTATTTTATCACATTTTCTTTCTGACCACTCCCCCACTTCTACCATCAGGCTGACAATCCCTGCGAGACGATCGCCTCAAATACCAAAGTAGCCCAGGAGGGCATTCGCTGCATCGGCCGCGTCGGCGATGACCTGCTGGTGATGACGCAGAAGATGGAAATTTGGATGATCGAGGCGAAGGAGATTGACAAGGAGGGCGAGAACAAGCCCATCAACAGCCTCTACTTTGGCAACGCGCCGCCCGTCCCCATCGAGGAGAAGTGGCCGGAGATCAAGAGCTGGGACCTGGGCGTGAACAATAGTGATTGGAACGACTTGAAACGCTACACCAAGACCTGCAACCCGGCAGTGGACGCCAACGGTCAGTACTTGCTCATTGATGGGCCAAAAGATCAAAAAGATGATACCGAACATAACGGACACTTATGGATATGGGTTGAAGGCCTTCGATGGGACATTAGAAAGAAGGTCCCCCATAGAGGCTTCACTAACGACCACGATGATGTCCATGCCCGGTGGATCAGCTCCAGTGAACCGGCGAAGCAGTACATGTTCACCGACAAAGACGGCAAGATCAGGGTGATTCGCTACTCGTCCTGCAACAGTTCCAGCAACAGCACGCTGGATGTATTCCTAGACGGGCCACCAATGGGCTACGTCAATGAGGAGGGCAAGTGCTACCACGTGAAAGACCCGCCCTACCACCCGCTCTGCCTGTCGGGCACTAATCAGGTGTACGTCGGCCCGGGCTCTGGCGACTGTCCAGCCGGTGACAAGCCCGCCCAGTGGACGATCTTCACCGGCTTCGTCGACAAGGGCCACTTCTACCTGATGACGAAGGACAGCGTCATCAGCTTCCCGGAGACGGCCTACAACAAGAAGGAGAAATCGGCCTTTGCCAACATTCCCTACGGCAGCTTCATCAAGTGCTCTGCTAATCCGCACCCGAGAGATGTGGGCGCGGGCAAAAGTAAGTGAACAAATTTGGTAGTTTTTAATAATTCTGCTAACCTTTTCCCACCATTACCAGAGAAAGCCCTTACTATCGGCCTGATCGTCGCCCTGGCTCTCATCCTCCTCATCTGCTGCCTGTGCATTCTGCTCTGTCTGGCGCGCGAGGCGATTGCCCGTCAGAAGAAGAAGGACAAAAAGGGCGGAAAAGGCAGCAAAGGCAAGGGCGGCTTCTTCGGGGGCGGCACCGCCCGTTCCGGCGGCCTCCTAACCCCAGGCAACCTCTCCAAGAAGTTCTCCGCCGTCTCGAAGCGCTCCACCGGCGGCCTGACCCCTGGACGGAAGCTGACCGGCGCCGGGGGCGGCAGCATGCGCACCAAGCGCTCCGCCGGCCCCAGCAAGGCGGGCAAGGCCATCAGCCGCAAGGGGCTCTCCCGCACCCGTCGCTCCCAGGGCCCCTCCACCTCCTCCTCCAGCAAGCGCAGGCTGACGGCGGTGGGCGGTGGACCTTCACGTGCTGTGACAGGTCGCAGCAAAATGACGCGGGTGGGCGGGGGCAGCGCTGGGGGCGGCGGCGGCGGACCGTCTCGTGCAGTCACCGGTCGCAGCAGAATGACGCGCGCCTCGAAGAAACGCAGCCAGAGCAAGCGGAAGTCGTCTCGCGGCGCCTCCAACAAGGCCACCGAGCGCAGCAGGCTGAAGAATCGATGAGTAGGGGGAGGTGATTCCTCCCATTCCTTGCCACCTTGCACCCCACCCCCACCCCCACCCCATCAAATTTTATTCTTATTACTACTATTCTTATTGTTATTACTATTTTTATTACTATGGTCCCTTTGCCCACTCTTTTTCTCTCCTTTTCTCTTATTTTACTAATCAGATTTCTACGCTTTTTCTCCTCCCTTCTGCCTGACCAGGCCGCCCAACTCTAACCTTGCACAATTCGAACCTTTTCGTTTGGAACAATGGTTGGTCTGCTGCTACAAAGGCACCTCACCGCGTCACTGCTCCGCTCACCTTTTTTGTTTGCGTGTCTTTTTTAGCTTTGCTCAACGTGTCTCAAGTGTTTGACAACGCTCTTCATCTTCTGAACTCAACTTTAAAAGTTTCCGTCAGTGATGAAGTTGATGATGGCAGGCCAAATGGCCTACTCCTGCAACATCCTCTTTCTGCTTCTCGCTCTCCTCTTGGTCGGTCCCAGTGCTGTAAGTAACTGAGTGTTTTTATCATGAATATCTTTCTGACAGCACTCCCATTAGGCTGACAATCCCTGCGAGACCATCGCCTCAAACACCAAAGTAGCCCAGGAGGGCATTCGCTGCATCGGCCGCGTCGGCACTGACCTGCTGGTGGTGACGCAGAAGCTCGACGTTTGGCTGATCGAGGCGAAGGAGATCGACAAGGAGGGCGAGGACAAGCCCATCAACAGCCTCTACTTTGGCGGCGCGCCACCGGTGCCGATCGAGGAGAAGTGGCCGCTGATCAAGTCGACTCCCCGTGTCGAGTGGGCGAAGCTGAAGAACGTCACCAAGACCTGCAGCCCTGTGGTGGACGCCAATGGGCAGTACCTGCTCATCGACGGCGACATCGGCTACGTGTGGGGCCTCCGCTGGGACATTAGGAAGAGTGAAGGCCACCAGGGCCTCTACAACGACCACAGCGACAAGGAGGCCCGGTGGATTAGCTCCAGTGAGCCGGCGAAGCAGTACATGTTCACCGACAAGGGCGGGCAGATCAAGGTGGTCCGCTACTCGGTCTGCTCCAACGGCACCAACCAAACGGCGGACGTCTTTGCCGACCGCCTGGAGATGGGCTACGTCGACGAGGCCACCGGCGGGTGCTACCACGTGGACGAGCCGCCCTACCACCCGCTCTGCCTGTCGGGCACTGATCAGGTGTACGTGGGGGCGCAGAGCGGAAGCTGTAGTGCCGGGGACAAGCCCGCCACGTGGACCATCTTCACCGGCTTCGTCGACAAGGGCCACTTCTACCTGATGACGAAGGACAGCGTCATCAGCTTTCCGGAGACGGCCTACAAGCAGAAGGCACCGTCCGCCTATGCCAACATTCCCTACGGCAGCTTCATCAAGTGCTCCGCCAGCCCGCATCCGAGAGATGGGGGCACGGGAAAAAGTAAGTGAACGAGTGTTTTTTTAGTGTTAATCTTTCTCTTTCTCCACCACCACCACCAGAGAAAGCCCTCACCATCGGCCTGATCGTCGCCCTGGCGCTCATCCTCCTCATTTGCTGCCTGTGCATTCTGCTCTGCCTGGTGCGCGAGACGATGGTCCGCCGAAAGAAGAAGAAGAAGGGCAAAAAGGGCAGCAAAGACAAGGGCGACACTGGCACCGGCTTCTTTGGGGGCGGCACCGCCCGCTCCGGCAGCCTCTTCAGTCCGCTGGGCCTCTCCAAGAAGTTCTCCACCGGCTCGAAGCGCTCCACCGGGGGGCTGACGCCAGGGGGACAGCTGACCCAGGCGGGCGGCGGCAGCATGCGCACCAAGCGCTCCGCCGGCCCCAGCCAGGCGAGCCAGGCCATCAGCCGCAATGGGCTGCCCCGCACCCGTCGCTCCCAGGGCCTCTCCTCTTCGAACAAACTGACGGCGGTGGGCGGCGGTGGTGGTGGACCATCGCACGCTGTGACCGGTCGCAGTGCAATGACGTCGGCGGGCGGTGGCGGCGGCGGAGCTTCGCACGCTGTGACTGGTCGCAGCGCAATGACCTCAACGGGCGGCGGCGGCGGAGCTTCGCACGCAGTGACCGGTCGCAGTGCGATGACCAGTGCCTCGAAGAATCGCGGTCACAGTAAGCACAGGAAGGGGTCTCGCGCCGCGCACGGCGCCTCCAACAAGGCCACCGAGCGCAGCAAGCTGAAGAATCATTGAGTTGAGGACGTAGTGATTCCTCCCATTCCTCCCATTCCTTGCCACCTTGCACCACCATCCCACCTCATCAAATTTTATTCTTATTACTACTATTCTTATTGTTATTACTATTAGTATTACTATGATCCCTTTGCCCACTCTTTTTCCCGTTTTTCTCTTTTACTAATCAGATTTTTATGCTTTTTTCCCTTTTTTTGACAGCATTTTTCAGCAATTCGAAAATTTTTTGCCGGACAGCCATTGTGGAACAATAGTTGGCCTGCGTCTACAAAGGCACCTCACCGCGTCACTGTTCAGCTCACCTTTTCGTTTGCGTGTTTTTTTAGCTTTGTAAAAATTTGCTCTACGTGTCTCTCAAGTGTTTGACAACGCTTTGACTACATCGTCGTCTTTCATCGTCTTCTGAACTCAACTCTGAACGTCTGCGTCTGTGCCTCTCATCACCGATGATGTTGACGATGATGGCAGGCGAAATGGCCTACTACTGCAACATCCTCTTTCTGGTCCTCGCTCTCCTCTTGGTCGGCTCCAATGCTGTAAGTAACCGAGTGTTTTATCACATTTTCTCACTCTTTATTCCCACTACCAACTGAACCAGGCTGACAATCCCTGCGCGACCATCGCCTCGAACACCCAAGTAGCCCAGGAGGGCATTCGCTGCATCGGCCGCGTCGGCACTGACCTGCTGGTGGTGACGCAGAAGCTGACGGTGTGGCTGATTGACGCGAAGGATATCGACAAGGAGGGCGAGGACAAGCCCATCAACAGCCTCTACTTTGGCGGCGATCCGCCGGTGCCGATCGAGGAGAAGTGGCCGAAGATCAAGGACAATGGAGTCATCAATTGGGAGCAGCTAAAAGCTGAAACCAAAACTTGCAACGCTGCAGTGGACACCAAGGGACAGTACCTGATGGTGGATGGTAATTTACAGATCAATGGCCTCCGATGGAACATTAGAACGAACACAGGCTTCCCAGGCTTAATTAACAACCACACCGATCCCAATGCCCGCTGGATCAGCTCCAGTGAACTGGCGAAGCAGTACATGTTCACTGACACAAATGGCTCCCTCGAAGTAGTGCGCTACACATCTTGCTTGTTAAGCAAGAAAACAGTCAGGGACGACTTTGACGATTCCGATCCGACAATGGGCTACGTCACTAAGAGCAACGAGTGCATCTACGAAAACCACCCGCCCTACCACCCGCTCTGCCTGTCGGGTACTAATCAGGTGTACGTCGGCGAGGAAGGTGGAAGCTGTAAGGCCGGTGATAAGCCCGCCCAGTGGAGCATCTTCACCGGCTTCGTCGACAAGGGCCACTTCTACCTGATGACGAGTGACAGCGTCATCAGCTTCCCGGAGACGGCCTACAACAAGTCGGCGGCGTCGACCTTTCACAACATTCCCTACGGCAGCTTCATCAAGTGCTCCGCCAATCCGCATCCGAGAGATGTGGGCGCGGGAAAAAGTAAGTGGGAAATGTCTTTCTTTTAGTGCTAACCTTTCCCTTCCCCTCCACCAGAGAAAGCCCTCACTATCGGCCTGATCGTCGCCCTGGCTCTGATTCTCCTCATCTGCTGCCTGTGCATTCTGCTCTGTCTGGTGCGCGAGGCGATGGCCCGCCGCCAGAAAAAGGACAAACACGGCAAGAGCGGCGGCAAGGGTGGCAAGGGCGGCAAGGGCTTCTTCGGGGGCGGCACCGCCCGCTCCGGCGGCCTCCTCAGTCCGCTAGGTCTCTCCAAGAAGATCTCCTCCGTCTCGAAGCGCTCCACCGGGGGGCTGAAGCCAGGCAAGAAGCTGACCGGCGCAGGGGGCAGCGTGCGCACCAAACGCTCCACCACGCCCAACAAGCGCGGCGGCTCGCTCAGTCGTAAGCCGAGCGCCGGCGCAACTCGTCGTTCGAAGGGAGTGGGCGGCGCTGGGGGCGGAGGCCCCAGCACCGGCAGCGGCGCCACCCGTCGCTCGAAGGGAGCGGGCGGCGGCAGCAGCAAGGGCCGGATGACCAGCAGCGGCAAGGGCCCCTCCAAGGCGGAGACGGCTCGGTCGAGGAACATCAGCGGCCGGTCAAAGAGCGGCAAGCGCTCGCGCCGACCCTCGCGCGGCACCTCCGGCAACTCCAACAAGGCCACCGAGCGCAGCAAGCTGAAGAACCGTTGAGGAGATTGCGGCTGGGCCCACTGGGCGCCCACTTACACTTGCCACCACCATCACCTGCAGCAGCAGCTGCAGAGAGGGCTCCCCGGTGGCCAATTTTACTATTATCCCTTCTACCCCCCCCCTTTTCTTCACATTACTCATTTTAAACACTTTTTATGTTAAAATCTTTAACTGAGGTTTGGTAGTGTTTTTTCTTCATTTCCTCCCTTTTTCAGGTCTAATCATCAATGTCTAGACGTCAAGCGGCGCTCAACATTTCGAACTCGCAACAAAGCTCAGCTAAAGTGCACTTAAAGCCACTCACCACAACTGCAGCAAGTCCACCTCATATCTGAAGCCTGTAATCTATTTTTTAGAGTACTGTGACATCATCTTAGCCAACGATGACAAACTTCTTGCACCTTTTCCCACTTTTGCTCACCACCTTCCTCCTCTTCAGTGGACTGTTCCTGATTGCTGCTGATGCTGCTGAGGTACTGCTTTTATGTTTTTTGTTTATCATCTTCTAAAACTTTTTAACCTCCTTTCCTTTCCAAACCCAACCCACAGAAGGAGAACCCCTGCGACACGATCGCCCGGAAGAACAACATCGACGGCGTGGAGCAGATCAAGTGCATCGGCCG